CCAACGCCTGGTGTTTCAGCGGACGAAAACAGCGCGAAGTGCGCGGGAAGGCTTAGGATACACGTGTCTTTCTGCCGTGGATGTAGTGTGCAACAAAGCGAAGACATGTTCCACACATTGGTCTGAGTTGTGTCTTTAGGGTGTATTTTTTGGGCAAGCCTGGGATGCCTGGGCAAGCCCACCGGCTAGTCGTCACAAATTCCCAGACTCTAGCAGTGCCTGAACATGGAAATCCCTGTGTTTGGGTGAGGCAGTGGGCCTACGGCGGCCGTGTGGAAAAGCTGTCCGAAGTCAGGCGGGCTTTTTGCAGTGCGAAGGGAACAGACAAAAATCATTCGGACCTCTCTGGTTTCCTCAATGGCAACCTGTGGTTTCCTTGTTGGGCAAACCCCGTTGCCCTAGAACCTGCATTTTGTTTTGCGCAACATTGTCCAAACCGCTCCACAGCAAGGTTCCATGGCGGTTGGGAAGGTATCATTTTTTATCGTGGAGGGCAAAAGTGGTCCATCATTTTGACTTTTGACCACCCCCTTCCACAGGCAGAAAGCTGCCAAGTTTATTCATGGTGGGACCTCGCTTGCGCACGTGGATCCAGGCTGGTTTCCATATGCGAATCGAATCAAATTTGCGCATGAACTCGTGCTGAATCGTTTCTACATGCGCGCGTGCGCTGGCCTCCCCCATCCTGCTTAACTCCAAGGGGCTAAGTAATTCGTTTGTGGCTAATACACCTAGTTGTAACCCAGTTAGGACTCATAACCACGGCAAGTGGGTTATAACCATTGAAATTGCCCACTTACCTGGCGTGCCGTCCCTTTAATCCTTTAAGTACCCTTCGCTCCGGTGGAGCGGCAAGGAGCTTCTACCTCCGCCGTGTGGGGCGGGTGGCTGGTGTCTCGGTGTCTCAGACGGGCGAGGCGAGCCAGAAAGCGTGTGCCGAAATTGCCGGAGGCTGTGCTGCCAATCGAAGCTGTGGGGCACAATGTTGGGTAGAGCGCAGTAAGGCGAAACTTTCAGGGAATGAAGGCAGGAAGGAAGGAAGGAAGGAAGGAAGGAAGGAAGGAAGGGAGGGAGGGAGGAGGGAAGGGAGGGGGTGAGTTGGAAGGAGGGAAGGAACGAAGGCAGGAAGCGAGGGAGGGAGGGAGGGAGGGAAGGAGGGAAGGAAGGAAGGAAGGGAAGGAAGGAAGGAAGCTGGAACAAGATGATGTTTCCGATCAGAGCACAGCAGCGCGCACAGATGCAGTCCGTTCCATCGGCATCGGCGGCGGATCGGCGGAGGGAGGGGGCATGGTGTTGGGGTGTTGCTCAAAATGCACCCGTAAAGCTGGTCGGTTGACTTTTGATCTCCCTTCAAGGTGTCCAATTTTGAGCCAAACCTTGTGGCAAAGTGCCGAGGTTTTGACTACCTGGCTGTCGATGATGCTGGGGTTGGTGGTCGCAGCCCCAACAACGTGTCGAGTCAAATCTTGGGACCCATCAGATGGGCTTCGTTGCCGACCTGATCCCCAAACCTAAAACCAGCTCAGCTGAGTGCTAGAATTCAAGTTTGGCTTGCATTTGCAAGTGGAAACAGGGGAAATCGAAGCCTGGCGATGACAGCTGTGCGAGAGCGAAGCGCCGACTGTTTGTCGATTGCTTTTTGGCGACTGGTGCAAAATATGCAAGCGAGTGTTGGTCCTGCGGGACGGATTTGGCTAATGTGCGAGGACAAATTGCCAATCAATTCGCTGCAACCCTATCAAGCGCTAAGCTTCAGTTGCTGCACGGCACAATGCATTTCTCAAAGGCCCCTGCTTCCATGCGGGCTAAATCAAAACCCGGGTAGGTGAAGGTTCGTAAGGGATAGTCCCAACCATACATGGGTGCAGCCGCGATTTTAGTTTACATGGTTTTTGTAGATTATGACTCACTTGTTGGGGGGGGGAGTTAAGACGGAATTCCACTAGAAACCGATGGAGTTTTATTCAGCGACAACACGACTCACCTTCGCCCAAGCCAAAGCCAGTAAACCCAGTGCCGGCCGTGCGCGTTGCGCAGGTGGTGCTGGTGCAAAGTCACGGCAACCCGCTGGACCGGATCTGGGTCGCCGTGTCTTTTTTGGATTCGCCAAGTTGGTAACCCATAGTAACCCAAGTCATGCGGAGTAGACCTGGTAAAGATTGTGGTTTCTGGGCCACGTGGCCCACTTGCTAACTCCGAACATCCACGGCGGCATGTGTGGGTGACCTCCCAGGCCAGAGACCCCTTTGTCCAAGTTTGGTGGGGCTGGCCTTTCCACGCCTTCACGCAAAGGGCGCCAAAGCTATGGCGAGCCCAAAGGCCTGGAGCACAGCATGTTCTGAGGTGTTCTTCGCAGTCATCCGCTCGGGCAATAAGAGAATCATTTCGATCCAGAATGCCTAGGCATGTTGAACTTGAACATGCTTGAACCAAGAATGATCTGCGCGGAAGACATAGACAGGTGGGGAGTTCGGCTGGGGGCACATTTGTGAAGTGCTAGCGCAAGCTCGATGACGACAGATATCTCACGCGGATCAAAAGCGGCATGCCTATATGAGCATTGCCGCGACCATTCCCTCGGACAGCTTACCTGTTTCACTCAATGCGGCTTGAACCGCGTCAGGACTGGTGGCACGTACTTCGCTGCTTTTGTTTTGCAAAAGCCTCAGGCAGTACGCGATCGGGGTGGCCTTGAGGAAACTCCTTTGGCGAGGTGGAAGCAGTTCGCCTTGGCAACTACATCTAGGCTATTTATGTTTGTTTGAGCAACTGTTGGTGGCCTGGGGTATTTTCTTGAAAAAACCGGAATTTGTTTACGTGTTTTTGTTTCACAATCGATTGCCTAAGGGCTGCTTCGCATCCGGAAGCTGAAGCCTAGCCCTAGGTGGAGACGTGGCGGGATCCCATGGACTGGTGTCCCAACGGCCCGAGCCCAAGCTCGGTGTTTCTTTTTTGGATCCCGGTTGGTCCCTTTTGTTTCCCAGTTGCCCTGCACCCGTGTTTTCTGTGGGAAGGGTTGTCCCTTTAAAGTCAACCATCAAAAGGAGGGTAGCCTTGTTCCCATGGCGACTGGGCTTTGAGGTTTCCTTTGGGTTCGGGGTCTCTTTGACGACATCCATTAACAAAAGCGGAGTGTTGTTTTGCTTTCTGTGACCACAGGGCGGGGGATGGTCATCAAAGCTTTGCTCATGGCCTACAGCTTGGAAGACCAACTTTTAAGAGAGGGTGACATGGCCATCCAGCCGATGTGGTGTTTATGGCCTGCAAAGCACAAAAAATCGTAGAGGGAGCCATGCCCATTTCTTATAGGAGTGAGTTGCGAAAGTCTTTCCCGGTCCATTACATATCATTGCATGAAGCTGAGGTGGCTTGAACTCGCAAAAGAACGACGCGATGGCCAATTGATTTCTGAGATAGTTTCTACTACCCCCAAACCAGCACAGTAATGTTGACTTCGGAGTAAACCGAGAGACCCAACTATCAGAGAGGCTCCCTAACATCAGTCATTTCCCTACGAAAAGGGAACCACCCCGGACTAGTACGGTCATCCGGATTGTTCTGGGGTCTGTATCCCATGAAGCTTTGCGCATAGTGGTTTGGGGGTTGTGATTCAAGCAGGGGTTTTCCTAGCACTCATCTTTGTACGCACAAGTTTTGCAATTGGCACTAGATCGGGAGATCAAGAGACCTGACCATTCTAAGATACGAGTTTTCACCTAGTATCGCAGGTGTTTCAGGCCCTTTGCTGTTTTATCCTGCTCGTTTCGAGCCGCAGATGACATTTTCTATAAAGCCGCCGGCGTGCTCCCGAGGTCAAACCTGGACCGTGGCGGCTTTGTTGCCGTCCTGGCTGCTGTTCCCACTGACGAGCCTCAGCCAAACGCATGCAAGCACTCGGTATGAGTCGATTTTGACATATTACCTATATAAAATTACATTGACATATACATATATATATATATATATTATACATAAACATACTACAATCAAAAGTCAAAAGGGGCGCCCACCACAAATGGCAACGGTTTGTTGTTTGGCAAGGGCCCCAAGCTTGGGACCTAGCATTTTCTTGGTCCGTTTTCAGCTGTAGGGCCGCTCATCAGATTCGAGTCCGCCTTGCAGTTGCACGTTCAATGGAATTGGGTTTGGCTTTTTGGTGCAACTGTTGTGGGCTTGTTTCAACAGGAAACCAAAGGAAGATCGCTAGCGGTAGGGCTTCCATGGGTTTCCCCACTTTGGAGACAACCGCATTAGTGGCCCCTCGCGCACAATGCATCCAGGCCGCAAACTTCGGGCAACCTGAGAACGCAGAAGCACTACTTATCGGCGGGCCAGTCAAGCGTTGGCTCACGGTCTCCGGTTCTGGCATGCCAGGCTTATCTCGACCTTACTCGAGCTTATCCACGTAGTTGCCTGGCAGACGGGACTGCAACCAATGTTTTGCTGCCATGCGGAAAGCCCTGCAGACTCCGCACCGGTGAACAATTTGAACAATTCCCATGCTTGTTTTGTTCCCGGCAAAACCAGCGCCATGCTAGCCGTTTAGCGCGCGCGTGGGATTCGCGCGCTTGGAAGTCTACCTGCCGCCGGCTTCTTCCTTCGCGAAGCCACAGGCCACAAGCATCCCTGTTTGTGTTTTGCTGACAGCCGAGCAACTGGCGAGACGCAGTTGCACAGTTTTTCCACGTGGCCTCTTCCGACAAAAGTTCCAGCAACTTGGAACCTAACTTTCAACTGGTCCTCTTGAATTAAGCGGTCCGCGCAGATAGCCAAGTTCCTATTGAGTTTGTCCAAGCCGTTTTGTACCGCCAAGTTCTTTTTGGCAATGAGTCCAACAGCTGACAGTCCGGCAGGGTGTTGATGACGAGACTCGAACAAGAGTTACCCAGTTCAGGATGCAGAGAGCGCTTGTACTTGGCAGTGTAGCTTGGGCGTGCGCCTATGCCAAAGGAAATTGTTTCCAATCATGTTCTTTCCTGGTAATTCGGGACGGCCCGCACGCCGCGATTGCGGCATGGTGATTTGTTTTGTCCAACCGTTTGTTTGTCAGTTTTCTTTGCATGCAGCCTTTAAGTAATCCGCAGTATCCTGGGGTGACCTAGAACACGCCATTAGGGGTGTTGGATTTCCAAATTTTCTTATTAGGAAGCTCAACCCCACTTTTCCTTAAATGTAACCCCAAACGGCGAACTTGGCATGTTTTGGGTTTTGGGCCTGTTCCCGTCACTGTGGCCTTGCGTGGTTGAAGGCTGGTCGGGGATGGTTGGAAGGTGGTCGGAAGGTGGTCGGGAGGTGGTCGGGAGGTGGTCGGGAGGGTCGGAGGTGGTCGGGGGGTGGTCGGAGGTGGTCGGAGCGTGGTCGGAAGGTGGTCGTTTGGAGGTTGCAGCCTGGTTCTAGCTTCACGTATTTCCATATTTGGGTCGCGCAGTGCAATTCTTCACGTGATTTGTTTTTTAAGCACGGTTTGTATCCTTTCTGATCAGCAGGCCGCCCGGATAAGCCATTTGGAAATCCAACAATTAGGGGGGATAGATCTGGGACAAATCCAACCCCAGGATTGCCAGACAAAAAGTGAAGCGGCCCAGGCGGCGCTTCTTCGCCCAGGCCAAGGGGATGTTTTTTGGGATGGCGCCCGGCGTTCCGTTTTTTCCTCCGGGTGGTTTTAAGCTAAACACAGGGAACCCGCTGCATGAGGAGGGTTCCCCCATTGCGCAGGGAACGCGAATTCCCCAAAAATAATCTCATTTGGATTGGCTTTACTAAAGCAAAATACTTGTAAAAACCAGTTAATGCAAATTCCCCACAGCCTGAGCCACAGGCAAGAAGGCGACAGACGCTTGAATGGGCAAGGAGGCGGCGTGGATATTTTGCCTTAGCCAATCAAATTCAGCGCCTGCAGCCCACAGGCTTCATGATAAGACCTATGGGGATCAGCTGCCATGGCTTGTGTCCCTGTGGTCTCCACATCCGGTTTGGTCGGGATGTCGGACAACCTCGGGCAAGCACTTGTTGATGAACACTTCCTTTGCTAGGAATCGACTTTCCGCTTTAGAACGCCTCGTCGCAAAGCCTCGTGGCATACTGTTTTGGACAATGCTGTTAGAACCAACCGGCTGCACATTGAGCACAGAGGCTGTTGTTGTGCGCCCCGAGTGCAGGTAGAATATGCCTTTGGTGATGCGGGGCTGCTGGCCGCTGCGCTTGGGCCCTGGCAGATCTCAAGGAGTTGGATGCCCGAAGCACGTTCATTTAAAAAACCAACAAACCCGGCACCCCACACCCCATCTATTCTGGGAGGGCAGGATCCGCAGTTGTAGGGGAAACTCGGCCGTGGGAATGGGACTGGAAGTACTCGTGAAGCCCTGGACCACGCCTGAAGTTTGCGACCACACGCATGTCACCTACAGCTCCGGAAAAAGGAATGAGCGTGGATACAGAATATGCACAGGGAATGTGCCAGGGATGCCAGCGCCATGGATGCATGAAACATATTCCTTAAGTTGATTTGGTTGATGAATTTCCGGAGCATAGCAACAACGAGAATGCGATTCTGCCATGTGCGCCTCAAGGGCCAACTATCGCATTGCTCAGGCTGGTGCTTTATGCCATCTCGGCAGGCAGAATGCGTCAGCTCGGCACGTCTCACGATCGGTGGGCAGCATTTCGGGTTGTGGATGCCAATCACTCTTGGCTGAAATGCAGTATGCCGTTTGGTGTTGATCCCCTGCCCGTGTCTCCTTTTTTTGTGTGCGGTAAGATTCCTGTTAACCAACGTTTTGAGCCTCTTGAGACACTATGATAGGCCAAACTGGCACAAGTTTTGCAGGGAAGCGCTGGGAAAGCTTGGTACTTGCTGCAGTCGCCTATACAGGTAAATGGATCCATGGGGTTGGGTTTCATGACCTGCAGGTGCGGGCTTTCGCAAGTTACCGGGTCGATGCATTTCAGACGTAACTTGAGCGCAGGACCCATGCTGCTGCTGTTCCTGCAGCAGGGCGATATCCCCTACAGGCAGGCAATCTGCAAGAATTGGAGCTGATAGGCATCGAGCGGGAGGCTTGTTTCTACTGCTGGATGTCATGTTTGCAGGAGCCGCCTCGCTTGCGACTGACACTTGGCTCCAGTCCCGTGGTTGCCCTTACGGATTTGAGAGTTTAGATTTGCAAGGCGGGAACTGGAAGCTGAGGCTCACTTCTTTTGCGCAGGGAAGTCACAGCGTTCACAGCGTTGTTGTCATGGCAAATCGAAGTCAGTTCAAGGAGTAGGCAAGAAACCTTGAAGCATCTTGAAGCACTTGATCACGCTTCCAATCGATCGTTGCCGAGTGGCTGTGAGTACTTTGTTTTTTTTGGTGGCCCCGCTTTTTGGTCCCCCGCCCAAATAAAAACACTGGGTGAACTCTCCGTGTGATGCCTGCCAGTGGGCGGCTTCAGAAGTTGTCAAGTACGCCAGCTCAGCAGTTTAGATTATGGCCGGTTTGTTAGCGTATTTTTTGAAAGGGGCCCTTTTTGGGTTGGTTTTCAACTGAAGCCAAATCGAAACATTTCCTTTTTGGGGGAGGGGGGGGTGTCGCAGAATTAAAGACAACCCCGTGCACGTCCCAACTTTTCAGCTGAGAGAGTTCTCCATCCGCAGGATAGGCTTCTGGAACCAGACCTGGCCACCTGCCGCGGGCTTAGGTGAGGCAGGTGCGGTTGTGCAGATTCCAGTCTTTGAGGACAGATACGGTTCTGCAGGACAACCTTGTTTTAGCAGGTGTTTAGCCAGTTTCCTGCAGACATTCCTGTAGCTGGTTTCTATGAACCCTTCTTCTTGTTGTGTTTGGCGGGGCCCCTTGTGTTGTTTGGTTTGATGGTTGGGGGGCCACCACCACCGCTACCGCATTTGTTTCTATTCTCCTTGAAACTGGTTTGCGTCCGCAACTCGGCCCGGGGTTTTTCTGAGGCAACGCTTTGCGACTTTGCACTAGGCCTGGGGATCAGTCGAAGCTTTGGCATGCCGAAGGTTCGAAGATGATTATGTTAGGCTGTGACCCAAAAGCTGGCGGCTGGCCGCTGGCTGTCGCCTTTTTTTCTCGGGGTTTTGCGTGTATGTTTCGCGGCGAGCCATGCGAGGCGTGGTCGCAGCTATGGCATCTCAAAGGCATGGCGCGCCTCAGCCTGCACTCGTGTTTATGTTTTGTGTTGCCATGGACCCTGTCTACTGGCAGCTTAACCGCATCACTCAGGAAACTGACAAGGCGGCCTTGTCCAAGTTTCGGGCCCAGGTTTGGCTCAGCTGGTTGTTTTCCGAGCGCATGACGGGAGGCTTGGGACTTGAGGGGCTCTGTTTAGAAGTTGTCCGAAGGTACACTTGCTTTTTGTTTTTGGCACAGAAATCAGCTTGGCTTGTACCTCAAAACATTTGGATGTTGAGACCGGGAGCCCGTTTCCCAAGGCTTCTTGTCCCGAGAGTGAACGGTTCCTTCACAGCCGATTGTTTTTTGCTCTTATCGAAGCTTCAGATGCTCAACTTCCATTTTCGCACGCGGCCCAACAAAAATGAGAGTCTCCGAACAGCGGAGTGAGCTTCAAGCTTTTCAAAAGGACAGCAGCAATTCCAAGCTTCGCGCATGTCACACCGCTCTCTTTGGGTTTGTGGAAGGCCGATAGGCCTTCCTTCTTGGGCAACGGGGTGCGTTGGCGCTCTGCCCGTGCGCGCAGTGTTAACTTCGGATTAATCCGAAGGACCCCAGTAGAGTAGGGACCCCTGCTTCATTTTGCCCCACATAAGGGGAACGCCTGAGTACTGGTCCTCCAGGTGAATCCAAGGTCAACATTTCCCCAGGCTTGGGCGAAGCTGCCGCGCGACCTGCTGGCTGACGTGTCGCTGCTAGCTGCGGCCAGGGCCCTGGGCGTCCCAGCGTGTTGCAAGTTCGCTGGGGGCTTTGCGAAATGACTCCTTCAAACCACCATGAGGGCAATCTACATGGTTGTTCTTGGGAAATATTTTTTTTACATTTTTGCTCGTTGTGGTTTAGTGGGAAATCCGCACTTAACTGCTAAAATTTAGATTTTTGCTCCCCTTCCAACGTCAACCAAGTCTAGGGATGTCGCCTGAATGCACCCAAGTTCACCCGCAACCTCTCAAGTTGGGGGTGTTGCAATATAGGTATGCTGGTGCGGGGGACCTGGGCTGCCTGGTCAATGTGGCCGCCATGCACTGTATACTCTGTTTGCTGGGGAGGAAATTGACATTGTCCAGGGGCTCACGCAATTCTTGCATTTAAAGAGGTGCAACACCGTCACGAAGGCAGGATGTGCATTGGTAGAATATGGTAGAATCATGTTCCAGAGTGCTTCTTCGTTTGGCAGTTCCCATTCTTGACACAACGGGATGATTATCCCGTACAGTGATTTCTCAAAGCAGCCGTCATAGAGACCTTCTGTCGTATGGCTCGTGCTTTGCATGTGTTTGGGCGAAGGAGGATGGATTTGAGCTTCCTGAAGCAACTGCATCCTGGATGGTAAAGCGAATCCAAGCGGACACCTCCGGTATGTTTTACTTTACAGGCTGCGGGGAAAGAAAAGCAGGGTCCCCCGCATGGTGGACCGCAAAGACAGAACATGCTCCAAAGACCCTGACACAAGGGTAGACATGTGTCCCCCATAAACGCGAAAGGATCCAATGCCAATGTTCTACCCTGGTGGTTTGGGCTCGAAGCAACTGTTTCACTCACAAAGTTGAAATTGCCGTTTGACAGACGGACACTGAGGAAGCATTTGCCAAGGATGCTTTCATTGAACGCACGAAAGCGATCACAGACCGTCCTAGTTTTGTCCATAAACTATGACAACTACGGCTTGGAGGTGGCTTGCTCATTTCTCATGTTGGTCATATGTGTTGCTCGTGTTGGTCCCATTTTGAAGATGCACAAAACGTGCCTGCTTTGGCCTAGCCCGGGCTATCGCGTTAGATCTGGCTGCAAAGTCTCTTGGTGAAGCCGGTTCCGGGGTTGAATTCGGATGCAGCCTCCACTGGTCCGCTTTTTTTTTTCTTGTGTCCTGCTTAGGCTTATATATGTGCTGCTCTTGTCGTGTTTGCTTGAACTACCTAAAAAATCCTCCACCGCCCATGCGGGTTTAAATTCGGCTGCCACAATGAAGCAATCAACGGATTCTACACTACAAAGACAGGGATCCCTTCGTTCAGTTTGAAGCAGGGTTGTGGGATTAAGGGGTTTGTGATACAAGGGAGTCCCCTCTTATGGGGGCTTAGTCTTTGGGAGGTTTTTTTGTGTTGTACCACAGTGGGTTACATTTCAACCACAGCCCTAAGTACTTCCGCGTGTTCAGCTTTCCTTTTGGGAGCCGGCCGGCCCCTCATCCCCTCATGGCCGGTCGCAAGGTCCTGACGTTGCTGGTGCCCTCCAGTGGCTACCGCACAGGCGGGGGGAAAACGCCCCCGTGCCCCGGTCATGGTGTGGTTTGGTTCATATATATATATGCAACCCCCCCCCCCATGGACCCTGGTTTTACTGCCTTTTGGGGATGGCAAATCTAGAATTTCCAAGTTTATATTCTCGAAATTTCCAATTGTGGGTCCCCAAAGCGTGATAATTTGGAGCCCGGAGTCCTCCACAATGTCCCAGTATGATACCCTTTGCACATAAGATGTTACTTCAACTAGAATTGGAATTTTGAATATAGTTTAGTATGGATATAGTTTTCAAAAATGTGTTTATGTTCAATTACAGCTTAAACAAGCAAATCCTTTCCAAATAGCAGCTACATGCAAATGTAAATATATATTTTCGGCTAAACTCCAACTAATCTATAACACAAGAAGTTAGATGGAAGTTTTTTCCCAAATATAATCCAAGTGGTAAGTATAATCTAAGACGAACAACTCAATTTGCTTTTGATAATATCAAGTGAATAGAGACTACATCTCAAATATAATTCATATTAAATATGGCTAAACATTTGGAAATTAAAAATAGGATTTGTGTTGTTTACATTCTGGCCCTTTTGTAGCATAAGAAAGGTCCGACATTGAACTTGTTAGACGGTGTTCCAAAGGGAAATTTCAAGGGAAGAGAGGTTCAAAATCTAAAACTATCTCGAAACAGGGATTCTAGCTAAACCGTTGTATTTAAAGTCCTATTTGCGCAGGAAAGTTAATTCTATGTCAAAAGGTGGAGGTAGTAGATGAGCAAATGTGGACAGGTAGTTGAAGAGGGTGGGGGACGGTGTGCGAACGTACATACATATGTATATCTATATATACACATACATACACACATATATAGTACCCCCAATGATCCTGCGCCTCCTCATAAAATACTGGAAAATGCAGTATTTTTGAGCGTTGCACCTGCCTTTGTTTACCTCCTGGAAAGGGGTCAACATGAGTATAGCTGACATGAAGCTCACCAAAAGCACTTGAAAGTTTGTCTTAACTTGAAAGTGTGTCCACTGGATCGCTAAGCACTTGAACATTTGCTACTGTCGGATGGAAGATTCAATATTGAAGATTACACAGAACACTTTCCTGAGAATTGTCAATCCTGGCCAAGCCCAAATAGCATTCAAGTTCTTCTAACACTTGAAAGTGCTTTACCACTGGATTGGGGATCAATATTGAGGAGCCCACAAACCACCACTTTCCTGAGAATCATCCATCCTGGTCAACCCCTAAAATGTTCAAGTTCTTCTATCACCTCGAACATCCGTTACCACTGGATTGAATTTCACGGAAAACTTTTCCGAGAATCTTATTGAACACCGAGAGTATTGGGACAACCCTGGAATTTTTAAAACTTTTTAAAAATTATGGGATTCAAGATTCAAGATTCAAGATTCCCAGAAAATATTTTCTCAGATTCTTGAATCTTGAATCTTGAATCCATAATTTTTTAATAATTTTTAAAAATTATGGGATTCAAGATTCAAGATTCAAGATTCCCAGAAAATGTTTTCTCACATTCTTGAATCTTGAATCTTGAATCCCAGAATTTTTAATAATTTTTAAAAATGTCTGAGTTGTTCTTGTATTCTTGGATGCATTCAAACTCTTTGAGATTGCAGGTGCTGATGTCATTGCTTTTATCACATCTGTATGCATGCATGCGTATCATATACATGTACGACCCTCCCCCCAATTAAAGAAGCATAAAACACTGCAAAATACAGGTCAACCGCACCAAACCAGGGTCCATGGGGGGGGGGGTACCATATATATATATTTATTTTTTTTCCCTGGGTTTGTGGCGTGTGTTTCCTGAATTTTGGTTGGTGGGGTTTTCCGATGTTCCGTTGGCTCCTGTTTTTGCGCGGGTTCGCCTGTTTTCCTTTGGGCCTTCCGGTTTCTGAGGCCAGGTTTGGGGCAAAGAGACCCGAGGTTCGGCCAGTTTGGGAAGGCCTTCACCCCAACAGGTCCCAACCTTGACACGGCCACGTGAGCTGAGCGAAGATCGTGGCCTTGGGTCATGCTGGCAGGGGGTGCCCGTAAAAATGCAAGTTGTTGTGTTTTGTCCTTGGGCCTCTCCAGGTTGATGCTTGCGTTTGTTCAAATGCTGACTGGCCGCTTCACAAGCTGCAGTGCCCTTGTTTGAAAGCGCCACACTGCCACAAGCCTGTTCAAGCTAGTGAAATCGGGAGGCGTGTTGCGGTCAGCCTTGGCAGAAAGTGACGGTTAATGCCAACGTGCATGCGCTGGAGATGTGGCAAAAGACACCGGCACAAGTTGCTGAAGGTTTATTTGCGTCTTTGTTTGGGGGGGGGACCTGAAGTAGAATCGCACCTTCACCTTCTCACGGGGCCATCCTTGGGCCAGGTCTCTTCCCAGTTTTTCTCCCTCTGAACTGCCATTTGTCCCACTGTCATGGCTTCCCCAACAGTTGTCTTCCAACATCAGCCTCTCAGTTCCCATGTGTTGGAAAGAGAGTCCGCAGACTAAATGTGACTAAGCCAAAATGGGGCGGAGTTGTGCCATTTACAGCACACTAAAGCAAACGGGTATAGTCCTTTTTTAGGGACGGATTTGCTTTTGGTTTCCCCGGTTTCCCCTGGCCACCAGAACAAGAGTTCCCCTAAATGGCAAACAAAAATCTAAAGCCCTTCCCCCCCCTGAGAAACTGAAGGTTGGGAGCCGCTCTTCAATCACGGCTGCTCCCTGCTCTTCGCCGCCCACATGCCGCTTCCTCGTGTCATGGGCTTGACCAAAACGGGACCTTCAGAAGGAAAGATCAGCTGCCAGTGAAAAACACAGATGCGGCTGGTTTTCGGATTGGTATCCTTCAAGGAACCCTGCTTCAAAAAGCAATTGTTGCACAGCCTTTCTTTACGGGGCTCCGTTTTTTTGTTGTGTTTTGGTCGCAGTCCAGGTAAGCTCACTGCCCGGAAGCGATGATCAAACACCTAAGGGGGGAAGTTGGGTTTGTTTCCCCTGGTTACCTTTAAAGGGGCCAAATGTCTACCCCTTGTGCCAGGGCACGCTTGCATACCGGTTCTTTTTAAGCCGCCCCCATCCGCTTCTGTTTTCGGAGGGTCGTTCTTCCCACAAAATGAGGGCCAAAGCATCGAGAGGGCAATGGAAGCATGTGCCACATATTGAGCTGAGGTATGGCTCGTCCATTGCAGGCCTGAGCCTTGCCGGCGGCCACGGAGGGTGAGCGCCCCAAAGGAGCCTGGTCAACGGCTAAAAAAGGATGCCATCATTTGTGTTGCTTGCAAAAAAGGGACCCCCCCCCACATTTTGGCAATGTCATGTTGGCCCCGTTTGCAAAACACGATGACCCCCCGTCCCTTTGGTTCCCGATCCATGTTTTGGGTTGAGGCTGTTGGTTCCTGATCCGCTTGATGTTCATTTGACTTCTAGGTCCCCCAGTAGTGCCCTGTTGCCCTCTTTTTTGGGGAGGGTTCCCCTACTAAAATAGACTGCCGAAAGAAAAAAAAGGTACCCTTCCCTTATTAAAACAAATTCTCTACTGGAGGACCGAGACTTTGCTGTTGGCTTCGATTTGGCCAGGCACCGGCTCCCTGACGGCCGGCTTTTTGAGCTTCCCGGCACTCGTGGCCTTGGGCCGGGGCCCCCGAGGCGGGCGGCGGGGAATGCCTCTGAAAAGTGTGAAGCTGCGCCGAAGAACCATGAATGACCCCAGGGGTGACCCGTTTTGGAAGCTACCTTATTGGCTCTAAACACATAGATGGTCCCATTTTTTTCATGGCACTCGCTTCAAGTTTTGGATGGAAGGCTGAGTCGGAGGGGTCCCCTCACCCTTCCTTTCAGAGTGAACCAACATGGCTCCCTAGATCCATTCTTATTGTTGGAGATGCCAGCTTGTTCTGGTGGGCAAAAGGTTGAAGAAATAGAAGCGATCGCAGCAGGGTGCCTTTGGTTGGTGCAAAAAGACAATTGAAGACCTCAGTCCTGGCGACTGGTATCCCGTCTGAGGTTTGCGGGAGCAACTGCGCATTGCTGTTTTCAACCCGCGAATTATTATCTTTGTCCAACCCTTGTTCTTGGTGGCCTGCGAGGCATGTGTTCCAACCCGGTACTTCAGGCACGAGATGGGATCAGAATGCTTCAGCCAAGGTGAGTACAGCTTTGAAGTGCGCCTCGGCTGAGCTAACTTTGTGCCACTGGTGCTGTTACCGGGGTCACGACATTGGACCATAGCACCGAGTCTGATTTTCTTTCAGACAAAGAAGCCCCGGCACATACATCCCTTCAAGGTGGCCTTGAGTCAAGGCCTTCACACTTCACCCTTTGCTCTTCAAAGTCACGGAGTTGTTGTTAGCACAAGCTGGAGGTGTCCTTTTTCCGCAGGGCTTTCTTCCAACTTAGCGTTTGGCCCACCTCAATGTGCTCCAGTATGCTTCAAGCTTTGGGCTGAGGTTTGGACAAACTCTGATTGTGTCCAATTGAGTCAGTCATGGGGATCAGTTGTGGACTTTGGTTGAAGTTGACATCTATCCACCATGAAGTAAGAAGCGTCCATTTGTTAGTAGCGCAGCCCCGGAAGGAACTATTTCTGACGGATGGCTAGTGGCACTTTCAATACGCATCAGCCCTTGGAAACACATGAAATGCATGCCACACATGCAAGAGCAAACGCAACCTTGAGTTGTTTTGTTCATGTGTTTTTAGAGAAAACTTCATGGGGACTCCGTCTCTTGATTCCTTGCATATGTGGAGGGAGGGATATATGTGCAGAAACGCCAAACTTGCTTTTCTGGCTCCACCGGGCGCTGCTTGACGGCGTGTCCAACGGCGTGAATGTTTTGTTTACATCACAGGTCGTTGCATACATATATATATATATATATACGGACATGTATACATACTCGTGTATGTATGTAGGCATACATGATGACGGCCGAGGCTTAGAAATTCAGAGGCGCGTGCGCTTGCCAGCCGAGGTACTTGTTCCAGTATCCCGTGCATGCCGCTCGGTTGGTTTCTGGAGGGCGCCGGGTTTTTGGCTGCGTCGATTTGGCAATGCCGTCATCCAAAGCCGGGCTCGTCTACTCACATTTTGGGCAGGCAGGCATGAAGGCAAGCAGCCACTCGGCGCTCAAAGTAGGACATTTTGAGGCTGAGAACTTTGCAGAGGGCTGCAAAGGGCGTGTGACAGTTGATCAGGCCATTGAGCCAACTGTAGGCGGTTGGTCTTCAGGTGCAGTTTGCTTGTGAACGTTCTGTGGCGCAAGGAGTTCGCCAAAGCAAGAACCATATGTGTCCATGTGTGGCTTTGACGCTCAGGAAATCTTTGTCGCCATGGCAGATATCACTCACACGCCGGGGCCTCCGAAAGGGCGCGCTTGCAAGTTGTGCCCTGCTTCAGGGAGTGGCTGACATGCATCGCAGGCAAGGTTGTGCATGCGGACGCTTGATGCGTATGGCTTGCCAGTTGCTGAGCGAAATACTGTTCCACCCATGGGAAGCAGAAGGGTCCTTTGGACAGGACGCCAGGACACAGCGTTTATTCTATACTGTATTTTCTTAGCGTCTTGCAATCCTGCAAGGCATGTGCCTCATTGAGCAAAGCCCTGCCTTTTTTTCCTGAAGGCTTGCCATCAGCTCTGAGGTTTGGGATGAAGATCCATGGCAAGAATGCCAACTCCCAAGGAGCGCACTGAGCCGAGCACAGGGCACTGGTTTCACGTAAGCAGTCCAAGCATAGCTTTGGATTGGTATTTGCACATGCTACCAACGGCTCCCAGATGTTTCCTTGGTCGTCTTGCCGGCTTACACTGGCTCATATGTTGCAACTTGGAACAATGCAACCACGGGAGCGGAGAAGGCATTTGGAAGACCACATTGGGCCGGTCCGGTTGGGGCCAGCTGTGCGCACCATATATTGGTGTATGTGTATACTATATAATTATATATATACATGTATCTATATATTTATATTCAGGTCCATAATTTACAACGAGCTTAGGGGGAAATCGATGTCATTCCTGGACCGGTTTGTTACTTGAAACAAGCACAGAATCGCCTTTTTTGCAAAGGAGATGCTGTGCAAAGTGCGGCTGAATACAACGTATGTCATACATGAAGGGCATGCAATAGTTTTTCGCGCAGCGTACTTGTCTAGGTCTAAGTCATCTCCTCGCCAGGATTCATGACCTTCTTCCTGGTGCTTTGGCTGGCCACAGGCTTACTATCCGGTGGAATGACATGATCAATTGATGAACTGGGTACGGGTCAAAGTAAAACCACCAGGGGACCGCAGTTTTCAGTCTTTGGTTCCATTTACCAGGGTTCCATTTTGGGTACGCATATTTGACCCATAGCCAACTGGAATTCAGCCGTCAGACACCTAAAAGCCAAGACTCACTTTGACTGTCGACAATGAGTGAATCTGTTGGCATTTGGAAGGAAGCCAACTTACCCCGCATCCAAATATCGCCTTGGATGCTGTTGCTCATTGGGCTCCGTTCTTTTTGTCCCAGCCAGAGACTTTTTGAAGGCACAAAAGTGTGAGACCTTCTTCCTGAGCATTCCCTTTTGGGTTTTCCTTGGTCCGGTTTTAGTCAGTGCATCGCTTTTAGGCATTGCCTAGCCCCAAACAAATACTGTGGATGGACGAGATCCTGCACCGCTTGGAAACCATGGGAAACCATTGTTGGTCGGTATTTAAAGGGGAATCATCATTCCAGGGTTTCTTTGGAGCAGGATTTCGCAACCATCCACAGTATTTCCACATATTTGGCAGGTATGAACCAGGGTTTCGCCCAGGTCTAAAGAGTTCTTCGTTCGATCGCAATGACATGGCGACGAGGTCTCGGGGCTGTACGCGGAGCACGTGGAGAAGCGGTTGATCCGCTGGGGCCGAGAGGGAGTGGGCGCGGGTGCGACCTGTGGCCATGGTAAACCAATGAGATCCCATGTTGGGATAGGTGCACCACCCATTTCAGTCGGGATTTTAGTGGGGATTGGGATGTTCACTGGGGGTACGATTTGGATTTGGACTTTGATGACCATGTGTTGTTTGGTTTGATCTCGGCACCTGAACTTTCTGCTGGAAAGACTCCGGCAGAGATTTCCGCTGCGCGAGAAGAAAAAGTACCCAACCACAACAAACACTCCGCCATGCTGAAACCTGCGTCAGCTGAGTTTCGCCGATGTCCTGCTGCCGCTTTTGATTTGCAAAAAAAAGCGCTACCACCTGACTACAAACGCCGCCAACGGCAAGAAAGGCGCCTGCAGTGCTTTGCTGAAACAACCATCACGACCTGGTGGATTTGTTATCGGGTGCGCAGTGCTTCCTTCAAAGCCCAGGGTTATAAACCGCAAGGCATGGCCTGCCCGCATTGGCCTCAAATGGGTGGCGTCCTGTTAGTTTAGGCAATGATTGCCAATTTGCTGTATCAGATTTGCGGTTCACCGTCAAAAGTTAACTGTGCTAAGGACGATGTCATCGCCCTAGCATTGTTTGCTTCATGCACTGGTCACTCGCAGATGTTTTCTCAAAACCCGGGTATTTGAAGCTTAGGGGTAGTCCCCACCATAAATGGGTGATTTGTCTTTGTAATTGTTTATTCTAACTGAAGTGGACACTTCAAGGCCTTGGCTTCGGAGGCCTTCGGGGGTCCCGAAGATGGAAGCGAGTGACGCGTTCGGTGGAACGAGCCACTCGGATTGCTGAGCCCGCCCGAGGCTGGCTCCGTGCAAAGTCAGAGGAGTTCTCAGGCGAGGGCGGAGTGGGATATGGAAGGTGCGAACTTTGATCGTTTTGGTTCTCAGCAAAGGAGACTTCGAATGAGTTCTATAAACCATCCCTTGCCGCTTGCTCTAAGGGAGTCCGCTTCCGGTCCGTTCCCTTTTTGCCTTGTAGGGACCACGTGGAAACACTGTTTGCCACCTCTAAGCCTTTTTATTTGACCCCCATTTGGCTTTTTTGGCCTTTTGGCCAGTGGCTCCTAACAAGCGGCCAAAGAATCCCAAGAACCCGGGCAATTTTTCCTTGCTTTGGCTGTGCAGGTGGCAGACCTGCCCTGGAGCAACAGCCCTTGACATGAAGCGACGTATGCATGTGCAAGCAAAAAGTGGGCAGACTTTCCCGATGGGTGGGTCTCAAGGACCAGTTGTCGCGGACCCTTATCAATGAGACGTCAACGAGATATGTTTCGACGAGACTTGGGTCTCCATCCAAAGTCTCCGCGCGGAGGCCTGCGCTGTAGACAAGGGCTGCGGGGCATTTGGCCATCGTTTGTGATCGCATTTGAGTTGTCTCCGTCAAGATATTTTAGCAGTGTGTCTTCTGCGTATGAAAAGCTTATCAGTTTTGGTGAGTTGGATTTTGTTGAGCTAGCGTGTCAGCGACGGGCGCCGCCTGAAAGCCAGATGTGGCTCGAGCCTCTTAGTATCAGGACATGGTTGAACGCAAACACTTTGCCAGAGTTGCTGCCTGCATGTTACCACCCCACACTCTTGTGTACGACATGTTTGTCAAAACGTCACCAGGGCAGCTGCCTCTCTAGGAGTTCCCTCTAAAGCCCAGATGAACCCGGACAGTTTCCATGCTGATGGGCACGCAACGGGAAAAACTTCTCTGCATCTAGCAGCCAACCAGCTACAGACAAGAGCAGCGGGCAAGCAAAGCCTGTATCCCCCTACCCCGGTTTGGGATTCATGACGGCCGTCAGAATTTGAAGGGATCAGCATGGCTCAGTTCGGATGACTTGATGTTTCACTACTTCATGGAGACGGAGCCTGGCCGTGCCAGGCAGAAGTCGGTTTCTCAAGTCCGCCCATGGATCATAGGAAAGCCCTCGGCGAAGTGGCAATGTGTGGGGCAGAAAGAACATTTTGGAGAGACGGCAAATCCCAAGGACTGGACGTTGGGCTGACATCACCAGTATAGAGGGTGTACAGCAATTTCCCCTTAGGGGTACACCAGCATAAAAGTAGATTGCGCAATTCCCTTATTGTTGGTAGGTACGTTTTGGACCAAACCAAGAAAGGAGTTGTGGCAGTCTTTCACCCAGCTGTGGCTTGGTGGGCTTAACCATTTGAGAGATCAATCAAAGTTGTAGCACATAGCGCCAGGCTCCGAGCTCAGGTAGAGGTGCAGGACGGGCGCCGTCTTTGCGTAAGGCAGCAAAAACAAACAGAAAACGAGTGATGGATCTGACCAAGCGAGGCATGCCAGATGCACCCATGACAAGAACAAAAAATAAGGCGGCTACAATTTGGAGTGGGAGTGATGCATGAAGGACGCCGCAATCGGCTGGATACGTGTTTGATGTTTGACGCTCCCTTGTGGGTGGCTTTGTGCACCCTCTCTTGCAACATGTTAGGCAGTGATTTGTCGATTGGCTTCTTCGGGGTGCTTTGGACCTGACCCCTGGTATGCATAGGGCTCAAAGGAGTCCGGCAAGCTGAACCGCGAGTTTGGTCACATTGATTCAATCTAGGTGCCCCATCTTTCTGTCCAGTGATGTTTCCCTCTAAAGCAGCGTTGTGGGATCAAGGGGTTTATCCCCACTTCTGTGATACAAGGGATTTCCCCCCTGTATTTGGAGGATAGTTTTTGGGATGCCCTTTCTGTCGTGTCACAGAAGTGGTCATTTCCCATAGCCTGCTCCAAAGTCAAGCGCATGACCTTCAATTTCCACCAACGCGAGTACCACACAAATGTGAAGCCTGGCTAACCGCAAAGCCAAGGGCATGCTCCAGGTTGGCGGATAGTGTTGTTGAGGGTACCCTTTTTGGTTTCATAAAGGGAGACTTAGGGAGACCAAAGGAACCACGTGCTTCATATGGAATTCTCAGACCTTGCGCGCGAACTTGTCCCCGTGCTTGAATGAACTTATTGGAGGGGTATGGTTTGGGCACAGATGCACAAGTCCCGCAATCGCAGGAGCCCGAAGGCAAGCGTGAGGCTGAGCAGGCCCAGGCTGGGCCGACACAAAACAAACCTCACAGGTTGCAGTTGGGTCCAAGACGGTCTCCACTTGCGAGCCACAGCTGAGCGAGAGGATATGTGACAATTCCTTTCTTTTGGTTTAATTAGTCACTTTCGCCTACCAAAATACTTTCACCCAAATGTATGTCCATTAGGGTGTGACGCAGCGGCAGGGAGAGCGAGAGACAAAATTATCCTTAGTTGGACTTCGAAGCGTTGACTTGCTGCCATGTATCGCCAAAATGGAGTTTTTTGACCACTGGCAATAGCCACCATGGAAGATTGTTCGAAGGTTCCACAGAGAGAGAGAGAGAGAGAGAGAGAGAGAGAGACCGAGGCATTGCGGTTGTGTGCATCCCGTTGTAGGTTTTTGGCCAGTGCTTGGCGCACATGGCGCCTTTCCTCTTTGGACCGGCCAGCGTGCCATATAGAACATTGTTGAGTATCAAGTCGCCTTTTTCCGCGCACACGGCGTGAATTTCAAACGGCGTACAATTCAACGCACAGCTGTGACAACGAAATAAGGCGAAGTGGCGTCAGAACACCCTTCAAAATGAACCATTCACGTGGCACAAACGCCTTGTTGAGCTTGAGGCGCAAGAAGATAAAGCAATGGAGCATGCCTACTGGAAGGATCGATCGGGTACTTAGTAAGTGGTTAGTAAGCCTGGTTCTACCCCACTTAGGAGACCCATAACCACGGTATGTGGGTTGGAAGGCTTACCAGTCACTTACTAAGTACAATGCCCTTTTAAGTGGAGATAGGCACAATATGAACAAAGAACACCGAAGCCAACGGAAGGTCCATGAGTCAGCCGAATGAGGCCCCGGAATTTGAAGCGAGAGCAACCAGGTGACAAAGATTGACGGGGTATTTGTTTCTAAAGGCCGGCTGTGCTCGTTTACCAATATGTTTGCTGACCGGGATGTGAGCCAAGCTTTTTTTGTGACAACTTAGCTTATCGAGTTTACATGATGTGGTTTTGTCTCAAATGGAAACACCCCATGCATTTGAGTTCCGCCTCCGTCGGAGAGTTTGTCGCAGGTGCTGGAGAGGCTGGAAGACATTGGGCCTGCTGTTGTGTAGTCAGCTTAGCTCGAGTAGTGCGCCCTAACTTTGCAACGAACAGGAAGATGGCCAACCACCAGCTTCTGCAGTTTGCGTTGTTGTAAACCATTTGCACTTGCATGCAAAGCTGGTTGGCAATTTACTTGGGCAAAATGCCCGTTGGTGGAAGCTGTCACTCTGCATGATTCTGTCAAAGCCAACGGTGCAAAGTGCTTTCATGTTTCCGTTCACCTGGCAGTTTCTGCCAGCTGTCTAGATTGGCACATGCCCTCCCATTGCAAGTCCGGGGCAGCGCCGAAGTCCCTACTGGCCATTTTTCTTCTAGCAAGGCCTGACCCTTTATACCCCACACTGGTAGAACCAAGAGTCAATTTGTGTTGGGTGCTGATCAATTCAACTTGACAGTTGTCAGTGGCAGTTGCCAGCGCCGGTCAAGTCCTTTCTACACGTCGGGGTATTGGGGGATCAGCCACGGCCGCCAGGAAAGTGAAAGTTCTGCGCCCTGCTGGCAGGAGAGCGATGAGATGTGTCATCCATGTTTGCCTTGACCGCGTTTGTGAGTCATGTTTCTTGACCGACTGCGAGCTAAAAAATGCTTGTGCTGCTGCCAGGCAAGACTCGCTCCTCACTAGCGATTGCCTTAATGAGATGGCCCTGAGTATCAGACATCGGCAAGATATGTTTGTTGCTGTGACTTAGCCAGCCCCAAATATCCCAAGCAACGTCGTCTTTTTTGAGGGTAGCTTATCTAATGATTTGGGTAAATGGCCATCTAAGCCAACAAGCATGTGCCAACCCCAGCTCGGTGGATTAAGCAGGATTGCGCTCAACCCAACAGAGCGGACGCGCCGGCCCCGCAACAACATTATCGAGGGATATGAGGTTAAACACACTCTCAGATTGATGAAGACACTGCTCAGGCTGCTCAGGTGCCTCAACCCATGTTACAGGGAGGTGGGATTTGCGCGCAGGATTCACAGCGCATCGATCGTGCATGATCGACCCATGCTGACTTCAACATAATCTTGTT